ACTACCAAATTACGCTTTCTCAGTTTTTCCTTAGCAATAAACATATATTTTGAATTAGTAGAGATGTCACCTAGTATTTTTCAGAAATTATGTCAAATATGTACGTAAAAAATGCCAGATTATTTTTCAATTATTATTTTGCAATTAACCGGGGAAACGTAAAAGGAAATTTATTTTTGATGACATGATTTTTGAACCAAATAAGCGGGAAAATCTATTAACAGGGTTTAATTATCCGAGAAAATTTACATGTATTTTCCTATGAAATATTTTTTGCCCCATCATGTTGTTCAATTAAGCGTGGAAACCAATTAACCGTAGGGTCAATTAACCGAAAAATACTGTATATGTCTGATCTCGATAGAAATCACAATATTTAAGATAAAGCTATGGACTGGCAGTGCTATTACTCCTAGGATATTTGGTATTAAAAAAAAAGAAACTTATACATAATTTTCTCGTATTTGTTTTTGTAATTAAAAAGAAGTCCTTCTTTTCGATTACCGGCCGCCGGGACATCCGGGTTTGGGTTATTAACTTATAAAAGTACTAAAAATTTAGATTAATTCTACTTTTTGAGAAATGTTAAACTTAAATAACAAAGCTCTCTGTATTGTCATAACTTCATTTACTTAAAAACTTTTCTGAATAATAAAGATTATGGTCGTTATGTATTTCGCAGTATATAGTTGAATTCATAGGGTCAAAGGAATTTTAAAAATAACATATATAAACGCGTTTATCAACTTTTTTTTTATAAATTTAATGTGTGTGCACCAAGCAATCGGCTGCAGGGATTTTGCATTTTTCAATTGATTTTCAACGGAAGAGAAAACGGAAAATACGTATTACGGGAGTAGTAAATAATAAGCTCCTCTAGCTCACTTTTATAGCCAAAAAAAGCTGTTAAAAATAGTTTTAGTCAATAAAAACAGATTTAGTCAATAAAAACAGTTTTAGTCAATAAATATTGGATGATTTAATTGGAAAATAGGTCATAAATTTAAATATTGATGAACATTGCGTGGTAATGAACATTGAGATTAATGAAAAGTGTGTCATAGATAGACACATTGAATGATAATGAACTTTGAGAGTAATGAAAAGTGGATCATGCATTTAAGCATTGAGAGTGATGGACTGCGTGAAGAAATATCTTTGTGAGTATTCGAGAGAGAGTGCAATTTTATCGCTCATATGGCTGCTAGGAAGAAATATTAGGGTGTTCTTGCTGTCATTGTTGTTGTGTTTCTTACATTTGATTGCTAGAAACACAACAACAAGAACACTCGAACGCATATGCAGTAAATGACAACAACAATGACAAGTACATTTAGACGCACAGGCAGCTCCCCTCATATTTCTGTCTAGCAACGAACTGTAACAAACAACAACAAATGCATATACACAACCAGTCACCCTCATATTTCTTCCTAGCTGCTAGATGCATGATACTATTACAAACTCACTCGAATACTCCCAAAGATCTTTCTTCTCGCAGTCCATCACCCTCAATGCTTAAATGCATGATCCACTTTTCATTACTCTCAAAGTTCATTATCATTCAATGTTTCAAACTATGGCACACTTTTCATTAATCTCAAAGTTCATTACCCCGCAATGTTGATCAATATTTAAATTTATGACCTATTTTCCAATTAAATCATCCAATATTTATTGACTAAAACTGTTTTTAATAGCTTTTTTGGCTATAAAAGTGAGCTAGAGGAGCTTATTATATACTACTTACGGGAAATAAAAAAAATAAATATCAAATTATTTCAAATACAAATTTGATTCGAATCTTATTTATATTTTAAAATTCCTCGTAACCATTTTTGCTTTTGTAAACAAATACAACATGACACTCGTTTGGAATGATCTCAATCCTTAATTTATTTTCAGGATTTCGTTAATCCACATCATGTAAAGTGCGTATGTAAATACGCTATTATTATGGTGTCCGCCATTCATAAAAACATTGTTTCGAGAAAAACGCCTTTAAAGTTTGAGAGTCACTCTTGGCTTCGCTTAATGCTGATACAATAAATGGGTTATATCTTCAAGTTCTAGAGATTTTCACTCGGAATTGATAGGGACATTCTTGAATTAGTGTTCGTTCGAATTAACCCTTTGAGCCCCGAATTTTTTTCCGTAATCATAGAACAATTTTCTTTTCACAGATTTAATGCAACTATCCTAGATAGGACATGGAAAAATTTTGACATCGCTACATCCTTGCATTCGGGAGATACAGTACATTCTTTCTGAACAATAAAAGCCCAATATCATGAAAACCAAATGCAAAATCGAAGAAAAATTATTTTAAATTATTCTCTATATTCTGTTTTACAAAAATCAAAAATAATTCTGACGGCAGAGTTCGTATATTTCAAATACGAAGCGATTTAAATAATTTGGACTGTATACACAAATTAGTACTGTGCACATTTTTGCCCTCTTCTCCATATTAAAAAGCTCAGATTATTTTTCAATTATTATTTTGCAATTAACCGGGGAAAAGTAAAAGGAAATTTATTTTTGATGACATGATTTTTGAACTAAATAAGCGGGAAAATCTATTAACAGGGTTTAATTATCCGAGAAAATTTACATGTATTTTCCTATGAAATATTTTTTGCCCCATCATGTTGTTCAATTAAGCGTGGAAACTTAATACTTAAACTAATTAACCGTAGGGTCAATTAACCGAAAAATACTGTATATGTCTGATCTCGATAGAAATCACAATATTTAAGATAAAGCTATGGACTGGCAGTGCTATTACTCCTAGGATATTTGGTATTACAAATAAGAAACTTATACATAATTTTCTCGTTTTTGTAATTAAAAAGAAATCCTTCTTTTCGATTACCGGCCGCCGGGACATCCGAATTCAGAAATTCCAACTTTATTCGAAAGACTACATGCATTTGGGTTATTAACTTATAAAAGTACTAAACATTTAGATTAATTCTACTTTTTGAGAAATGTTAAACTTAAATATCAAAGCTCTCTGTATTGTCATATCTTTTTGCTTTTGTAAACAAATACAACATGACACTCGTTTGGAATGATCTCAATCCTTAATTTATTTTCAGGATTTCGTTAATCCACATCATGTAAAGTGCGTATGTAAATACGCTATTATTATGGTGTCCGCCATTCTTAAAAACATTGTTTCGAGAAAAACGCCTTTAAAGTTTGAGAGTCACTCTTGGCTTCGCTTAATGCTTATACCAAAAATTTGTTATATCTTCAAGTTCTAGAGATTTTCACTCGGAATTGATAGGGACATTCTTGAATTAGTGTTCGTTCGAATTAACCCTTTGAGCCCCGAATTTTTTTCCGTAATCATAGAACAATTTTCGTTTCACAGATTTAATGCAACTATCCTAGATAGGATATGGAAAATTTTTAAAATCGCTACTTCCTTGCATTCGGGAGATACAGTACATTCTTTCTGAAAAATAAAAGCCCAATATCATGAAAACCAAATGCAAAATCGAAGAAAAATTATTTTAAATTATTCTCTATATTCTGTTTTACAAAAATCAAAAATAATTCTGACGGCAGAGTTCGTATATTTCAAATACGAAGCGATTTAAATAATTTGGACTGTATACACAAATTAGTACTGTACACATTTTTGCCCTCTTCTCCATATTAAAAAGCTCATAACTTTACCAAAAATTTGAATTTTTAGATTTTTCTTGTGATATGTGTCGTCCATAATCAGGCCTTGACGTATGCAATCTAAATAATATATATCTACTACCAGTATATTAAATATTAGCTCTAAAACATTTTGTTGCCTGTGAGCAACATTGGGCCACAAAGGGTTAAATATAAAATAAAAAATATTATTTTTAGCCGAGAATGGAGGTTCCCTAATATGTATTTGTTAGTAGTTCTTGAGAAGTCATTGTGTATCAGTGGTACCATTGAAATTTCTACTATTAAAAAAATAATTTCTTAAATGGCGTTGAAATTTTTAAAGTAAAATTAAATACTAAAAAATAAGGTGTATTTTATAAAGTTTGAAGCCGTTAAAACACAAACCAAGGAAATAACATTGTTAATACATTAGTGTAGTGATTTAAAATGTACATAATTGACTAAATTAGGGTTGACATATATCTTTTGATAGTGATGAAACACCCGATCAGGGTTTATTATCTTAATCATAATGAATTTACCATAATTTATCAAAGATATGTAAACCACCTTAAATCATGAATAGTTGTCAAATGTAAAATCAAAGACGCAAAAGAAAATAAAAATTATTTATAGCATTATTGAGTTCAGGAATATATATATATATATATAGAAACACCCTGTGGTTGATGAATACATTTAAGGCATTTCAGATATTAAATTCAAATATGGCCTTTGTGGCAAATAATTACTTCTCAAGGAATTACTTCTCAATCAAAATATATATATGTTCTTCATAATCGTCTTGCCTCCATCACGGTTTAGAAGCCCATTTATTTATATTAGCGTCTTGAAAGTTACCGCAATTATGTTAATTTTAAAAATTGGAACTTATCTTTTCTGTTTTGGAGGAACTTTAATAAAACAACAAATTCATAATTTGCGGTAACTTTATTTATTAATAACAGAACAGAGTTAACAACAACAACTATTAACGGTAAATTTTTAATAACGATGTATATTTGTTAAACGTGTATCATCGCAATCTTGGTTAGTGTCTTCGAACAATTTAACAAACTGTGTGAACTACAATAACGTAAGGGGAAGAGGACAGGGACACACAGTAAGGATCTGCATTCGAAGCCTTTGCCACTAAATGTGAAATGCGTTTACAAGGACAATTTTGTGTCCGTAGAATTTTTATCGTTATTTGCTTTTATGCATAAAATAAAAGAAATTATAAACAAAAATTACTGTTAGAATAAATTGTGCGCATAATATATAAATATTTAAATATATGCTAGTATAGTAATTGGTAATTAAATGTTAACATGTATACTTACAGACACAGGTTGGTAGTTCCTTTGGGGTCCAGGAGCCATCTGATTGGCAGGTGCGCTCATGTTTACCAACTAATTCGTAGCCAGTGCCACAATTGTATGTTATCTTACAACCGTATGTATAACATTCTCCCGAATGCCACCCATTTGCTGGGTCCGGTGGTTGTCCACAAGAACGAGCTGTAACATTTCAAATTAATTATTGCACCAGGCATATATTAAATTAGATTTTACGTTCACACTGGATGTCAGGCCCATACCAGCTGGCCTGACCATCGATAGCCAGACACTTGGCCCGAGGAAAACCATTAGTGACATATCCATTGTGGCAATGATACTGCACGGTCGAGTCCAAGTCGAATGTTTCTTGTTCCGGAAGGGCAGAGTTTCGAGCATGTTCGATTTTAGGAGGCTTAAGACAATAAACTGCAGATAATTATATATAGTAAGGCTTGTATTATTACGTATATGTATATGGATATTTACTGTTTTGTTTGCAAGCTGGCTCAGCTCCAGCCCAATTTCCATCGGCTTGACATAAACGACTCTGAAGACCAACTACGTGGTAGCCATGAGGACATGAGTATGAAGCTCTCTGTCCGAAATGTCTTCCAGTTAACGTAACTTGGCCCAGGGAAGGCTGCGCAAGTTCGGGACATTCACGATCTGTAAATATAGGTTGATCGAATATTGTTGTTTTATTGGATGCCAATTTAAAATATATAGTTGGAATTGGAGGGACGCAGAGTGTGTAACTAACATAAATAAAAATATGTATTAACCGAGAGTAAATACGAAGTATTCGTTCTCAAGAGAGAAAATTGCAAAAAGTAAACGAACAACATCCAGTGAAAAGATTGTAGGTTCGTTCGTTTACTTTCCCAGTAATATTTACTCAGTAAGAATTTGCAGAGAGTAAATACGATTTTTTCCTTCTCAAGAGAGAAAACTGCAAAAAGTAAACGAACAACATCCAGTAAAAAGATTGTTTCGACACAGCTGATTAAAACAACAAACAAATTGGCGCAAATTAAAAAACAACATTTTTTTTAGAAAAATGGATAACAAGCGGAAAATTGATGTTGTTTGTTCCCCACAAACATTTAAAAGGGTTGTGACCGGTAAGTTTTAACTATTTAATGATACAAAATCAAAATAAAATTCACAAAACAATGAATTTTCTTGAGAACAATTTTTTGTTTGTTTAAAAAACATAACAAAACAGCTGATTAAATATCAGCTGATGGTACAAGAAAATTCTTACTGAGTAAATTTTCTTTGTAAGAATTTGCAAATACTCAGTAACACAACTGTCAAATCTGCTCTCTCAGTTCACTCTCTTTTACTGGACTTTTGGGTAAACGAACAACATTTTGTAATAATTTGTACAAATTCGTACAAACTATTGAGTAAACGAACGAACCTTGTATCGACACAGCTGATTTCTTCATCCATTTTAATACTTAATTATCCAAAACCAAAATAAAACAATCAATTTGCTTGAGAACTATATTGTTGTTTGTTTACACAACATAACCAAACAGCTGATTAAATATCAGCTGATGGTACATGACAATTCTTACTGAGTAAATTTTCATTGTATAAATTTGAAAATACTCAGTAACACAACTGTAAAATCTGCTTACTCAATTCACTCTCTTTTACTGGACTTTTGAGTAAACGAACAACATTTAGTAATAACTTGTACAAATTATTGACTAAACAAGCGAACCTAACGTCGTATGTACAGAAAAACTACTTTATTAAAATTTAACGAGGACCAGTACTATGCCTTCATTTTTTTAGATATTCCCTCCAATATTTGCATGTGCTATTATTATTTACTATTGAAACCATTCTTTTTAATTTGTATATGGCACATTCTATATATATGCAAATGAAGCAGACTAGAATAAAAAATGTTGTTCTGGTCGGCTATCTCTAAAATTTGGTATGATAACCGAAGTGGTATGTTTAAAAGTAGTACTAAAAGTACTAAATATTCTATGTCAATGTATATTCTGTTCTATATCAAATTCAAATTATAGTTAAGACGTTACCAATTGATATTTAAAATAGAATTATGTGCAAAATTACCTTTTGGAAATTATACTCAAATGTACTATATATTATATTACAATAGAACCGGCTGAGGTAGAAACCTGAAACTTCGTATATAACTTTAACTACTACAAATCAAACGCCATGCATAAATATTTGCATGCATATATTGCAGTAGAATCTCGATAACTAACTCGACTAACTGAGTCGATCTAGACATGTGTGTCCGTCTGTCCATTATAATTTGTAAACACAGTTATGGACCAATCTTTACGAAATTTTGCATGTAGAACCAGTTCTGGCCCTATTGGCTAATATTTAGCGGGTCAAATGGACCCCGACTTTTGTGTGAAAAATGACAAGAAATTTATTCTATTGGGTATATATTTACTTCTGAAGGACATGAAGCCTAGAAATTGATAATATATTCAAGAGTAGTGGTTGACCTTTAAATTGATTATGTTGTCGTATGTACTCGGATGTGAGAGTTACACTTAAAAATTTACAGGTGCTTACGTATTCATATATTATTTAGTAACACATTACCAAACTGATCGCTTTGAAATTTTCCATGGGGATCCAGGTATGGTCAAAGACAACGCCTATAATTTTCAGTGATGATCAGATAATAATTTTGTGATCAAGTGGACCGAAAACTTAATTGTTTGGGTTTTTTTCGAGTCGACTTATAGGCCACAATTGAAAGCCGAATATCACAACACAATACACCGTGAAGAGAATCTGGACACGTAACTAGAAGGGCTGTACTGAATATTTGTTGACCTCTAGTCGGTTAAGAGGGGGCAAATATTGCCCAAGCTCAAAATGTAGCACCACAGAAAGTTTGATATTCGTGGAAGTTATGTGGGGTATCATAGTAAGGTGACCAGATTTTGCAAATTTATTTTCCGATTTACGCCTGTTCGACTTTTATCAATACTTTACAAAATGTGAATATTTCAAGTGATTATAACTGAGCTAAAAATCTGTCTAAGAGTAAATCACATTGAACCGAAAATATGTTCGTGTTACCAAAAACATAACACACACAAAACAAGAAACCGTTAAAGCGGGTTTACATAAAACATTTAATCAAGATTAAAGGCTGAATTTACTGAATTTAAATTATCGTGCTGTAGGGATTATTTTAAATCATGATCGAAATCACGATGTTAATGAGATGTAACGCGTTTTTTTTTTTGTACGAAAAAAAAAAAATAATAATAATAAAACTCCCTCACAATGTACAATTTGCAACTGTTGTTTATTTTTATTGCCAAATGCAAAAATTAAAAATAAATGGGAAAAAATTTTATATATTATATTATAATAATATTATATATTACACTTTCATTGTTGTAATTCTTTTTTCATTTTCAATTTGCAAAACAAATATTTTTCTCGTAGAAAGTTGAAAATTGAAATGTGAATTGTTTCTTAAGTGTCAATAGAAGTGGTAAGTATTTAAAAATATATAATAATATATATATATATATACACATTTTGTTTTATTGTTATTTAAAATTGCCTTTTTTATGATATTTTGTGTATAATTTCTAAACACAGCCATAAATAATCATTTGAAAATACTATATGTAAAGTAATTTCTTTTAGACCGATACATTTTTTCAAGCTAACTATCAAACATAATTAGTTGTAATCTTACTTAGCTGGCTTGTGACAGAACTTTCGTTCCATAAGCCGAGTTTAGAAAAGATTTCCAGGCACATCGGTCTTTTGCGCAGATCATGATCAAGATCATGTTTAGCAATGTTGTCCTCCACTTGATCTTTCTATCTTATTCGTGGCCTTCCCCTTCTGCCTGAACCATCAGCCGATTCGCTTTTATATGCCTTTTGGGCTGGGGCATCTTCATCCATTCTCACAACATGACCAAGTCAACGTAGTCGCTGCAGCTCAATACGTCTAACAATGCCGAGAATAGCTGGTACAGCTCATGGTTCATTCGACGGCGATAGTCATCGTCAATGCAGATCGGCCCATAGATCTTTCGGAGAATTTTTCTCTCAAACACTCCAAGAGATGCCTCATCTACTTGCGTAAGTACCCATGCTTCAGATCCATATAATAGCACGGGTAGTATCAGCGTCTTGCAAAGTGTGAGTTTGGTTTCGCATGAGGTGGCCTTGCTTATGAATTGCTTACTCAGACCATAGTAGCATCTGTTGCCCAACACTATCCTTCTCCGAATTTAAAAACTGATGTCATTAGTTATATTTATGGCGTTAAATAAAAGGTATATAAAATCTTTGACTACCTCGAAGCTGTAGTTCTCAAGTTCCACAGTTGGTCCGAGTCTACTGCACGTCTTGCGCGTTGATACCATCAGCTTGGTCTTCTCGCCGTTTTCTACCAGACCCACTTTGGCAGACTCCTCCATTTGTTCAAAGGTGGCTGTTACCAGCAACGTACACAGGATTTCATTTCGGGGGGGGCCCGGTAGTATAAAATGAAAAAATTCGCTGTTGCTAACATAAATTTACTGTGAAAAAAAAATCATTTCGGGGGGGGGCCCGGGCCCCCCGGGCCGCCCCCCTGCTTACGTCCCTGGCTGTTACCGATCTCAATGTTTGACCCATTATGTCGATATCATCGTCGTAGGCGAGTAACATGTGTTGTTTGGTGTACAGAGTGCCATTTCCGTTTTCTTTTTCCTCCCGTATGACCTTTTCCAGCAGGGTATAAAAAGGTCACACAACAAACTGTCACCTTGTCTGAATCCTAAACACCTCTGAACGGATAGGGCTGTCGAATGCGGCTTTATAGTCGACGAATAGGTGGAATCTGTCGATGTGTTTTTCATGGGTTTTTTTTCCAGGATTTGGCGCTGAGTGAAAATTTGGTCAATGGTGGACTTGCCAGGTCTGAAGCCGCATTGGTATGGTCCAATAATGTCGTTGATCATTGGCTTCAGTCGTTCACACAGCACGCTGGATAGCACTTTTTATGCGATGGGAAGGAGGATTATTTCTATATAGTTGGCACATATCGTCTTGTCTCCTTTTTTGTACACGGGACACATGATGCTGAGTTTCCAATTATTGGGCATGCTTTCCTCTAGCCAGATTGTACTAATCAGCTGGTACATGCTCCTTACCAGCATCTGACCACCAGTCTTGAATAGTTCGGCTTGTAAACTATCGTCACCTGCTGCTTTATTATTCTTCAGCCGATTGATTGCTATTCTGACCTCATCTTGGCTAGGTGGTATACACTCTATTATTGGGTCTGGGGTATCCTCTTCACCGCTACTATTTGATACCAGAAGTTTTTCAAAATGCTCCTTCCAGATCCTCATCACGCAATTCTTTGCCATTGCTTTTGCTACAGTTTGTAGGGAGTGCGCAATTCTTTGCCATTGTGCTTCTATAATATTATCGGGACAAGGAGTGCTTTCGTTAAGCATGTGGTTAAGTTGAGCGGATTAGGCCTCTGCTACCTGTTGTGTTTGCAGCTTTTCGACGTCGTGTTTCCGTGTTGCATTAGATCGCCCCTTTGCTGCTACATTAAGTCGGGTGCGAACCTTGGCTTCCACAAGGTAATGGTCCGAATCGATATTCACTCCTCGTATCGATCGAACATCT